CGAGCGGCGAAAGAATATAAACGAAATTGATTTTAGTTACGCGTGTTACACACGCTCTTTAAAAGATACAATCAAAGCGAGAATATGTATACATGAAGTTAAACTCCCGGCGTAGGATCTGGAGGAGGGCAGTAGCTCCATTACCTTGTTGGCTTTTGCTTGTTTCCGCATCGCACACGCTTTTGCTTTCTTCTTCGCCTGTCGCGAGTCTCTGGTAGGAAGTCCCTTCTGACCCGTGAACGTAGAAAAGAGGCGGAAGATGTTCTTTGCATGAGACCGGCAATGGAAAAGGCAGGCGGTTTTAAAGTGCTTGTGGGAAGGGTCTCTGTGCTGCAGCGGTACAAGCTGTCTCCTTATACAGCACAGCTGCACATTTCCGGAAGTGCGTTACAAGGACGAAGTGAGGAGAGGACAAAAAAGCTCAAGGTTGGCATCAACACGCCTTGAGGGGGAAAAACGTTCACTGTTTGCCGTACAAAATGAAAAAAGAATTATTTTGCTGAATCATCAGCGAAACACGTACAGTTCTGTTTGATTAACAATATTAGAAACTAGAAAACAAATGTTCAAAATTTAAACTCTGAGAATCGCTAGGAGAAGGTGCGTCGGTCAGGCGACCCCTCTCCCTCCTCAAAAAGACGGCAGACACAGCGAGGATGGTTGCCCCTGCTCTGACACTTGTACGTCGCGATTCAAAAGCGCGCTTTTCGTACTCCCTTTCGTCACGGCGCTCAACTCTCAAACAATAACAGTAGAAGAAAGCGTTGCATTAGATAGACGCGCAGTCCTTAGAGAAAGCAACGCCAAAAACTTCAGTTCCGAAGTAGTAAAGGAAGCGTTATTCACTGACAAAAGAGGGCAGTGACTGTTTTAGCGGCTCAGACTGACCAAAACGGAGGGAAACAGGATCAGAACATATACAACACAAGTGGATGGATACTGTGGTGATCCAACACGCCCTCCATCAAAGCAGTATCGAGCAAGCAAGAGAAAAACAAGTGACGGAGCATCAAACGAAAACTCCATAGTGGTGCCTACATCGATCAGCACTATCCCATTACGAGTGCAGTTTCATTTTTGCAGCCGCACATTACAGATGATTGAATAAAGGTAAAGTTTTGAAGCCAAAAGATAATAAAACGACACCGTGTATCCACAGAGCAGCTGGCGCGTTCAACACCTGGGAAGGGGGTGGAAGAAAAACAGGACATTGGCCGATCGCGTAAAACGAGGTTCGTTGATTAGTATAAAAATACGTTTTTTACTGTTTTAGCAACGGACCAGCAAACGCACTGGGCATCATGGCAGCCGGTGAAACGGCGCTGGGCTGATGTACAGGCAGGGATAGGTCCACAACGCAAGTTTTAGATTCTTTTGAAGTTACGCCACTCTCTACTCACCGTGCTTGCGAATGGCCGAACCGAGCACGACACCCTCCTCGACGCCGCGGAGAAGACCAACAGCGATGTCCTTAGCCTTCTTTGGGTCCATCGTGCGCGGCGTCCACGCCATGGGGACCGGCGATGAGTTCGGTTGCGGGGCAGGGGTGGTGGTCGGGCCAAGCGGGTAGCACTGGAGGTCCTCGCGACCCAGGACGTACCCGTCAGGGCAGGCGGTCTGAGGGCATACATAGCGGTAGAGCCAGCAGTAGTACGGAACTGGCTTGCCATCCGCAACGGTGCGCGGGCATCCCATGTTATCATACTGGTTCTGCGCCAAGGTGCACTGCCCGTTGGGGACGGAGGGGCGGGAGTAGTCCACCATGCGGCGGAAGCCGTCGAGCGGACAGATGCCGGTTGTCGCCAGGTACTGGTTGCCGGCAGCGTCGATGCAGTGCACCTCCAGATTCATGAGTTGGAACACGTAGCTGCCGTTGGCCTGCCGTGTCGGGCTGCCGCGCACCGGACGCACGTACCAGTCGTTGGGCGACTCCGTGTCCTGCAGCAGCTCCACGATGATGGTGGTGGCGTACGGGGGAAGCATGGTCAGATCGGTGTGGTCACCGAGGGTGACGGCGAGCGGCGCCAGCATCGTGTCGTGCGTGCTGAACTCGTACAGCTTGAAGGACGGCGACAGCTTGTGTGCGTTGATGTTGGCCAGCATGGTCTGCGCGAGGTTCTGCGACGCGGCACCCTGAGTGTTGTCGATCTCCACGGACTTGTTGTAGTCGTAGATGTAGCGGTACCACGCAATCGTGTACGCCCTGAGACCGGGCATCGCCGCCAAAAGATTCGACTTGGAGGGTAGACGTCCGGCAGCCTCAAAAGAAGTAGCAATATCGTAAAGGTTGCTTGCGCAGGAGGAGCGTGCGGCGTGGTCACTGCAAAGACCCTCGATGTAGGCGTCCTTCGCAGCGGCCGCAATCTGATCACTGGTAAAGTACGCATCCACGACGGGGTTGAGCGCAGCGTTCTGCTTGTCCATCTCCAGCCAGCGGCGGCCAAACACGGAAGGCACCGTGTCCGTGTTCAAGAGGGTGTCGGTGGTCAGGTTGTGGGAGTACACCACCGGATAGAAGTAGTCGTCCGGAAAGAGGCCGCTCAGGAAGGCGGTGGCGCTCTGGATGGTGCGCTGGATGCCCGTGGAGCGGGTGTACACCACCGAGGAGTTGTAGCGCGTGGACGGGATGAGTGGCTCCTCCACCAGTGAGAGGTTGCTGTAGCGCGCACGCACGAAGCGGCCCACGGAGTTGAGCATCTCGATGCCCACGCCCGTGAGCTCACCACACGGGTACTCGGTGCCGCAGATATCCGACGCGTTGTCCACCACCAGAGGACCACGCGCACCGTGGCGATGCGCGACTTGAACCATGCGCACGACAAGACGCGCCTCCGCGGAGAGCGCCGCCGTGACCAGCAGCACCGCCAGCAGCAGCTGGGCAATCTTGAAAGTCATGATGGCTGTCGAAAAGAACGTAAGAAAGGCACTGCTGACGCTGCTTGCCTTGCAAAAAGGTGACGGTTAAAAGTACCTGCGACGCGGATTTCGTTTCCAACGGGGGAAGAAGATATTTAACTGCGGGCGTTGGCGCGAGAAGAAAGCACGCGAGGTGGGAAGGCAGAAAGAGAGATGTAGAGGGTGCGCGCCGCGGGGGCAGCTGGGGGTGTCGCTCGGAGGGCTCATTGCCAAGGCGTCAGGCACCAGCCGCGGAGTAGAGCGAAGCTGCGATGTGTGCACAACCCGCTGCAGATGTCACGTCCGACACATCGCATCGAGCAAGTCCGCCTCATACGGCGTGTCGTGACCGCTGAAGTCCATACGAATACACGGAAGGTGCGCAACAAGCCCAAAACAAAACAACGGCAACATAGCCAGACGGCACCTCACCGCGGTTTGGCGGCGCGCTCGTAAGCGAGCGTGGGGGCTGAGCAGTTCGCGTAGTTGCCTCTAGCGCAGAGTTGAGGGGGTTTCAGTGAGAACACGCTCCTTGAGAGTCGAATAGAAATTCGATCATGCGCGCTAAACTGAGCACGTCTCACATTCGCACAAAAGAAAAGAGAAAACTTTCTGCCAGACGTGATACGATTCGCGTGTGCACCTCGCTGCTCGCAGTCCGACCGTGTGTGGTGCACTCCAGACCCCAAACAGAAGTGATGCGGCGGTGGAGAGAGAGAGAGGGGGGAGAAAGAGAAGGGCGCCGCAGTCGTATCAGTTGGCCCACGTGGAACAGATTTGTACTTCAAGGTTAAAGGTAAGTCGTGAACTGTCGAAAAAGAAAAAAGAACAATAGAACTAAGATAATTTAGACACCCTTCCAACTCGCTGAAGAGGCTAAAAAATATTTCTCGAACGTAGGAGTAGAAAAAAGAACCTCCTAAACACTGTGTTGAGCACCGCCGTTTCTGTTTGCCCTGCTTAACGCCACCTCGTTTTGACGGCGTGAGAAGACACTCGCGCTCACTGCCAAAACCGCGTAATGCAGCGCACAAAACGGTTTCGCTGACGGGCTCAACGGCTGATCCCAAGAATCATAGACGGTACATGCGTAGAGTTGGGGAGGAAAACAATCGAAAAATAAGACTTATCGGTATATTACTGGGGTGCGAATCAAATGTCGGCATAGATAATACTCAGATTGTCTTTTTTGATGTCTACATTTGTTTATGAGCGACTGCAATCTATAACCGGTTATGGTCAAGAAGCACAGACGAAGTTTTCGTGGTGTTCATTGAATTTAAGCTAATGATATGAGGTAGCACGCAACGGCGTACGCAGTTCTTTCCCGTACTCTGCAGCACACACAAATCGCGGATAAGCAATAAAACGGCTTCCCATATCTACACTTGCCGGCCATAAAACCACAACCACGCTGACAGGCCGTTTGGCACTGATCAAAGTCGCGAAATAGCAATCCACGCGCTCACAGGAACACACAAAAGGAAAAAAAGCGTCGTACCGCCGCGTGACGAACGTAGAACAAAAAGAGAGTAATAGAAGAAAGATGAAACCAGAAGAAGAAAGAGAAGACGGGAAAGTGGTACAAAATAAATGTAGACAAGAAATCAAAACAAACAAAAACTACGTTTTGATAGCCACATGAAGGCTTCTTAAATAATGTAAAAAAAAACACGTTTTCAAGCGACACACGTTTCAATGAAAAAAAAAATAGACTTCGCAGCAAAGCGAAGCTGCGTCACTGCACGTTGCAGGTGCGTTGCTGCGTAGATGTCTCTTCGTTGTTCCTCGCGAGACAGTCATTACCACGACGACTTCGACGCTGACACGTAACGAGTTCAGAAGTGGCAAGAAGCCCGCCGCTGCACGGTTCGCAGGCTTCTTTCCCTGCTGAGCAACAAAGCCCAACAGCGAGAGGGAAACAGCAAACGCACTGGGCATCATGGCAGCCGGTGAAACGACGCTGGGTTGATGTACCCGAAGGCGGGGGGGGGGGGTTGCGACGAAAAACTATCAGAAACTTCTGTAGGGCGTTTACCCTTCACTCACCGTGCTTGCGAATGGCCGAACCGAGCACGACACCCTCCTCGACGCCGCGGAGAAGACCAACAGCGGTGTCCTTAGTCTTCTTTGGGTCCATCGTGCGCGGCGTCCACGCCATGGGGACCGGCGATGAGTTCGGTTGCGGGGCAGGGGTGGTGGTCGGGCCAAGCGGGTAGCACTGGAGGTCCTCGCGACCCAGGACGTACCCGTCAGGGCAGGCGGTCTGAGGGCATACATAGCGGTAGAGCCAGCAGTAGTACGGAACTGGCTTGCCATCCGCAACGGTGCGCGGGCATCCCATGTTCTCCCTCTGGTGCGGCGTCAAGGTGCACTGCCCGTTGGGGACGGAGGGGCGGGAGTAGTCCACCATGCGGCGGAAGCCGTCGAGCGGACAGATGCCGGTTGTCGCCAGGTACTGGTTGCCGGCAGCGTCGATGCAGCGCACCTCCATGTCATTCAGCACAAACATATAGCTGCCGTTGGCCTGCCGTGTCGGGTTGCCGCGCACCGGACGCACGTACCAGTCGTTGGGCGACTCCGTGTCCTGCAGCAGCTCCACGATGATGGTGGTGGCGTACGGAGGATTCATGGTCACGTTGTTGTGGTCACCGAAGGTCATGGCGAGCGGCGACACCATCGTGTCGTGCGTGCTGAACTCGTACAGCTTGAAGGACGGCGACAGCTTGTGTGCGTCGATGTTGGCCAGCATGGTCTGCGCGAGATTCTGGGCGCAGGACCCTTGCATTCTGTCCAGCTCCACGGACTTGTTGTAGTCGTAGATGTAGCGGTACCACCCAATCATGTAAGCTGAAAGGCCCGGCATCGCCGCAACCAGATTCGTCCTGCTGGAGAGACGTCCGGCAGCTTCGAAGGAAGTCGCAACGTCGTAGAGCCTGTAAGCACAGTTGGAGCGCTGTGTGAAATCACTGCAAATATCCTCGATGTAGGCATCCTTCGCAGCGGCCGCAATCTGCTCCCTGGAAAGGTACGAATCGACGATGGGGTTGAGCGCAGCATCCATCAAGTCCATCTCTAAGGAGCGGCGACCAAAAACATAGGGCGTAGGGTCCGTGGTTAAAAATGTGTCAGTTGTGTAATTGTGAGAGTACACCACCGGATAGAAGTAGTCGTCCGGAAAGAGGCCGCTCAGGAAGGCGGTGGCGCTCTGGATGGTACGCTGGAGGCCTGTGGAGCGGGTGTACACCACCGAGGAGTTGTAGCGCGTGGACGGGATGAGTGGCTCCTCCACCAGCGAGAGGTTGCTGTAGCGCGCACGCACGAAGCGGCCCACGGAGTTGAGCATCTCGATGCCCACGCCCGTGAGCTCACCACACGGGTACTCGGTGCCGCAGATGTCCACGGAATGCTCTACCGCAGTAGAGCCACGCGCACCGTGGCGATGCGCGACTTGAACCATGCGCACGACAAGACGCGCCTCCGCGGAGAGCGCCGCCGTGACCAGCAGCACCGCCAGCAGCAGCTGGGTGACCTTTAAAGGCATCGTGGCTTGCTTGAGGAAAGAAGGAGAGATGGCGGTAATGGTAGCTGTGCCAGTGAAGGGGGCGGTGAGGAATTCGAAAAGCGTGTTAGAGTGCTGAAAGCGAGCTGTTAAACAGTAATTACTGTAGGAGAAGAGCGGCATGGAGGGGAGTGGATACGAGGCAGGGAGAGAAGGTTGGCAAAGACGGGGCGTATAGGTGTCAAAAGTCAAGGGACCAGGCCTGGGTGCGCAGCTCGAAGAAGTGCCGCGAGACCGCAACGGTGCCTTGCGCAATACGGCGCTGGGATGACTCGACATCGCGACAACGCACGTCCAACACGCTGCATCACACACTCTGCGCTTCACGCAAATGGTGACGTTGAAGCTCACACGCACACGGACCAAAAGGGAAGCAAGGGGCTCTCCTCAACGTCAAACGGTGTCGTAGAGCAAAGTTATTAACAAAAAAATGCGTTTTGAGGTTACAGTGGTCGATCCAAACTCTTACGGATACACCTGCACGCTTCAATTGACCAACAAAAAATATCGTATGAAACATAAAAGAAAAAAAAAGGTAGTCGTCACAAAGGTGCAATGCCTCTGAAGACGTTCTCAGAAGCAGCCAGACACCCTCAGTCAAAACGGAGTTGACTGGCGAGGAGTACACCGCAGACGTCGAAGCTCAGCCTACCTATCCATCCGTGCTCTTAGCTCTCCTTCAGAGCGCAAACGTGTGTGCTGCTGTGCTGCTGAGAGAGCCCAGCAGATCAGGCTTCACTCTTCTGGTAGGGAGCTGGTCACGATCGAGGGTGTGGCTGCGCTCGTGTGTGGCAACATACGGTATCGGGGTGAGAACAGAAACAAAACACTCTCCAATGGAGTTCGTTTAGTGTTCTCTGCAGCCACAGCAAGAACAAAGTTAAAGAAACGGGAACTATGTCAGCCAATAATAATGGAAAGAGAAGAACTAATTAAACAAACCGTTTTGAATTATGATCGATGTCGGGGTGATGCGCGCAGCACAGCGAGCCTGTCTGCCGTTCATGGTGCCAACACGCGGCACACGAGCCCAGCTGTGTAAGCCGTTCCGCACTAGCAGCTGTCTACAATGCACGTGTGAAACTACGCAAACCAACATACAGCTCTCTTAGGCGCTCGCTTGAGCACGCTAGGATGTGTTGCCGCCAGTCGGGTAGCACTGGAGGTCCTCGCGACCCAGGACGTTCCCATCAGGGCAGGCGGTCTGAGGGCATACATAGCGGTACATCCAACAGTAGCCCTGAACCGGCTTGCCATCCGCAACGGTGCGCGGGCATCCCATGTTATCATACTGGTTCTGCGCCAAGGTGCACTGCCCGTTGGGGACGGAGGGGCGGGAGTAGTCCACCATGCGGCGGAAGCCGTCGAGCGGACAGATGCCGGTTGTCGCCAGGTACTGGTTGCCGGCAGCGTCGATGCAGTGCACCTCCAGATTCATGAGTTGGAACACGTAGCTGCCGTTGGCCTGCCGTGTCGGGCTGCCGCGCACCGGACGCACGTACCAGTCGTTGGGCGACTCCGTGTCCTGCAGCAGCTCCACGATAATGGTGACGGCGTACGGGGCGCGCATTGTGAGTTCGCTGTGGTCACCGAGGGTGACGGCGAGCGGCGCCAGCATCGTGTCGTGCGTGCTGTACTCGTACAGCTTGAAGGACGGCGACAGCTTGTGTGCGTTGATGTTGGCCAGCATGGTCTGCGCGAGGTTCTGCGACGCGGCACCCTGAGTGTTGTCGATCTCTACGGTACTTGTTGTAATCATAGATGTAGTAGTACCACGCAATT